TCCACAACCCCTGACCAGTTCCTCGCCCCCTTCTTAGTCTTTCAAGCCCTCCTGCCCCTGCACTGTTCTCTTCCCCTTGGAATGCTCCGTCCTTCACTTTTGGCAGGATGACACTTAGGTCTCTGCATACACCGCACCTCCTCGGGGAAGCCCTCCCTGATTTCCTTATGCCAAAGCACACTCTCCTTATCAGTTTGTGTAAACAAACATCATCTTGTTCATTTCCTTAGCAGCTCTTCTCACCACCTTAAATTTCCGTTCATGTGCTTTTCATCTCTTCTGCCCACTAGACCACAACTCCTCAAAGAACAAGTGCCAGGTCCCACATGTTCTCCAGGGAAGCCAGGATCCAGCAGAGTGCCTGTCACACAGGAGAGGCCTGAGGAACACGAGCAATTCTCCCCTCCTGCATGGACCCTGGCGCGGCTCCGACACAGAGAATGAGGATGAAAGAGAGGAATGAGCTATTTGGGCATCTTGAGACTTCACCTTGGGGAGCACCAGATTACAGCGCCCCAGCCTAGGCAGTCACATGAACACCCACCAACAATGCACTCAGCCCTCCACAGCCAGCCACGAGGCTGCCTAGCACAGGTTTGCAGGAATGTATAGGACAGCCCCTTCCCCCGGACTTCCAGAGACAAAGGGGCGTGATGGAGTCCTGGGGTCCTACCCAGTCTGTGGGAGCTCCACGCCGGTGGCTTGTGTGTGTGGATGCTAAGGACACTTGCTGATGCTCGCTCTCCTGCATCAGGCCCTTTGCTCAGTGAGTGGAAAATAAAAGTGGGTTTGGATTTAGTAGGACCCTGAGTTCCCTCCAGGGTCCGCAGGCAGGCAGACCCCAGCAGCTTCCCGGTGTTGAGAAGGCAGAGGCCAAGCGAAGCCACAGGACTCAGCTCTGGGAAGTGCGTGAGTAGTCACCTCTCCAGCCTGTCCTCTGCTCCTCCCTTTGCAGATATTACATAGAAGGGTAACGTGGGAAAAAGCATAACCTTAAACTGGCTTCTAGAAGGAAGTGTCTGGACTGTGCTGAACCTCCTCTTTCAAGGTGGAAGAGGGGAGGGTGCTGAAGAAACAAGGATGCCTACTCATCTGCTTAACTCCCGATGCCCAGACACCCCAAGACGGGGGCTCGTCCGCCCCAGTTTCTATCAACACATCACAGCAAATCAGAGGGAAAAGCATCCTCGGGCAGAGGTGCTCAGAGTCCAGCCAGGACCACGGTTGGGCAGATGCACTCAGGTGACCGTCCTAACCAGGACCATTTCTGTTTGGGTGGGAACGGACTGGGGAGGCGGGGGCTCAGGGCTGCAGGCCGGAGAAGACCCGGGTGGCACCAGCACGGGGTTGGCAGCTGCTGCTCCTCAGCCTGGCCCAGAAGACAGGGAATCTCATCCCGGCAGACCAAGGGCCAGTCCGTGAGCAATCTGGGCTTGGAAAGTCCTTGAAGGTTGTTGTGAGGGCACGTAGGCCAAAGGCTCGGCCAGCGCCTGGCATGGACAGGTCACGCTCAGCAAGCTGCCCACCCAGTGGACCAGGTGCCCATGTCGGAGAGGACACCCTGCATCTTAGCATCATCCAGGTTGACGCTGATGAGAACAGGTGGGTGTGCGCTTTCCCCACTCCTGGGAATTCGCACCTGTGAACAGCTCTAGTGCTCACTGCAGCTCTGCCAGGCAAAGTCTTGTTACGACCCATGTCAGCGAGGAATGCTGGGACGCAGAGGGGTAGAGGGATGAGGAGGCAGAGCCTGAACTGAACTCGGGGCCCCTACCTTTCTCCTCAGCACCTGCTGCCTCCACCCTGCAGTTTTCCATGCTTGCTTAATTGTGACTCCCCCTCCCCCTGAGCAACTTCAGCCTCTTCTCCTCACCTCTCCCCTACCCCCCGTGACAGTCACTGCAGATATGTGGACAGTCCCTCAGGGGATGGACCCAGATCGGGCCCCCACAGAATGCAAAAACCTGATTTGGCATCCCCAGGAGCATGTGGGGCCTCCCAGGAGCTTGGCTGTTGCCATGGTTCCACCTGAGCTTCCAGAGTCTGGGCCCAGCCTGCTCAGTCCAGATGAGCATCAGATCACGCCAGGCTGGCGGCCGCGTTGCCAGGGGGACGCCGGCCTCCAAGATGCTCTGGTGCTGTGAGTACCGGAGAGGAGACAGGAGGAGGCAGGGGCAGGGGTTTGGGAGGACGCCGCCCCCTGTACCCGGGGCTGGCCCCCCACTCCTCAGGATCCTGCCTGTGATGTCTCCCTCTGTGTCTGCTGCTGAGTACACGATTAGTCACTCACGCCTTTGGCCCACGTAACTGAGCACACAAGTGGGCATTCAGGGGCGTGTGAGGACACCTTCATGGCGCTTCTAGTTTAGTGGGAGAAGCAGCCACCAATGCATGTGAAGCCCAAATAAATACCACCAAGAGAACTACAGGGACTTACTTGACAGGCAGGAGTTTGAATTAACCAGGAGGTCTACTTGGGTTGGGCTCTGAATGAGGAGGAAGCACAGAGGCAAAGGGAACAGCATGTGCAAAGGCCATGTGGTGGGGGGCACATGGCCCAGGATGGGGGCCAGACCCTACGTGACCTTGCAGACTGTGTTAAGGAACCTGGCGTTACACTCTCCGGAGCATTATTTAAAAAATCTGAAAAGCAGGGGTGGTGTGATCAGCTTGATCCTGATGCGGTCACATGGCTGTCGAGTGAAAACACGGAGGGAGGACTCCAGTGGGTGGAGAAGTAAGAGGTGGTGGGGAAAGTGCCCAATGATATTTTAAAACTATTTTTCAAGTCTGTCCTCCATCTCCGTCCCCACTGCCATCACTGTGGCTCCGATATCCTTCTCTCATTCACAGTTTAACGCCCCCTCACTGGCCCTGTGATCTCTGCTATTTCCCATCTGTCACCCCCTGGCAATGGCTGCAGAGTGTCTTTGAAATCTCTGCTTCCGATCATGTGCTCCACGGATTTCAGGCCCTTGGTGTCCTTCCTGTTGTCTTTCCTTTGACCTGAAATGCAGGACACTCTCATTGTGTTACGTTCTCTCTCCTGCTCCCCTCCCCAGGCTCCGGGAGCATGGCGGAGAGCTCTCTTCCTAGACTTCATCTCAGTTCCAGCAACTCTGCTTCATCTTCCAGAGTCACCCCAGGGGGAGATCTCTGAGCGCCCACACAGCTCAGTGTCTTGGGCCCAGTTCTTGATTTATGCCTACACTGCCTCTGAGAATGGATGTCTTTTGGAGTATCTACCAGGCCCTTCAAAGTCCATAAATTCCAGAAAATTCTGCTATTTACACTTTAAAGAAGAGAAAAGGAAAGCTCTAGGAAAGAAATAAGTCATTCAAAGTTACACAACAAAAGTGGCAGAGTTGTTCCCTGAAAAAAGCCCTATTCTCACGCCTTGTCATTATTTGATCTGGCTCGGAGCTTGCTGCGTGCAAAACACTCTTCCCTTGGAGTGTTTGTCAAAACACCAGCAGCTACCCAAGGAGTGAGAAAAAGAAGATGAAACCAAAAGCCAGTGGAAGGAAGGGAATAATAAAAATTAGAGGGGAAATAAATGAAATAGAATTTTTAAAAGACAGTGCCAAAGATCAATGAAACCAAAAGCTGGTCCTGTGAAAAAATAAAGTAGATACACCTCTAGCTAGACTCTCTAATAAAAAGGGGAGAAAACTCGATGAACTAGAATCAGAAGCAAAAGAGAATTACTACAGGCACCTCAGAAAGGCAGAGGATCATAGGAGCTACTGTGATTGTTTTTATGGCAACAAATTGGAGGAAAAGGACAAAGTCTTAGACTCATACTACCTTCCAACACTGGATCGGGAAGAAATAGAAAACCTGAACAGAACCAATCACAACCAAGGAACCTGAAATAGTAATCAAAAGTTTCCCAAAGGCAATAGCCCAGGGGCAGATGATTTCACTGGTGAGTTCTCTCACACTTTCAAAGAGGAGCTAATACCTCTCCTCCAGCTCTTTCAGAAAGGTGAGGAACAGGGGATGATTCCAAGCACATTTTGGGGGCTAACATTATTCTGATACCAAAAGCAGACAAGGGTATCACAGAAAAAGAAAAGGACAGACCAGCGTCCTTGAGGAATATAGACGCAAAAATCCTCAACAAAATCTTAGCAAACCAGATTCAACAATGGAAAGGCTCGTCCCTCTCTCCCTCCCATCCCCCTCCCTTCTCTCCCTCTTTCCTTCCTCTCTTCCTTCCCTCCTCACTTCCATCCAGCCAACAATTATTTGTACCTACTATGTGCCAAGCCCTACTATGTGCTGGATCTATGCAGCATGACTCTCAAAGAACCACAGGCCACTGCTCTTCCCTGGCAGAGTTGTTGGTGCCAATGTAGAAACCTTCTGTCCCGTGACTCACTGAAGATTAGCAGCTCGAAGGAAAGCCCTCAAATTCCTGACTTTTTCCACCCTCAGGAAGGGCTGGGAGGATGCTTAAAATTGATGGGGAAAAGAATTAGCTCAGCCTTTGTTTATCCCTCGTGAACATCGACAATCAGGAAACAGCTCGCAGTCTGAGCAACATCGTCATGATTGGGTCTCCCTGGCTCATACAGGTCCCTGAGATTCTTCTTGAGGCAGATGCCACAGCTCCCTGTCAGCATCAGCTCAGGAGGAATCTCACAACATCTTCCCCTTCCGATTGCCACTTTGGCCAGCAGGGTGGATGGAAGGCACGCCATGCCTTCCTGCAGAAGTGGCTGTAACCTCTGACTTATTCTCTGCCTCTGTGATCCGGGTGATGTGGCGCCCCCACAGTGACCCTGGGGTGCAAGGGGTTACCATGTCCATCTCACAGATGAAAACACTGAGTTTCCATGGTGGGGAGCACCTTGCCAAGACCACACCCCCGGCGGTGGGGTCCCTCTGATGTGAGCTTGCATGGACCGCCTACCCAGCAGTTCACGGCCAGCAGCCCTGCCCGCTGGGTAGCATCGTACACAATCAGGATGTCGTCTAAAATTCTAGCCCCTTTGCTCGTGGGGAGCAAGGAAGTCTGGGTATCTCTGTGAGGCTCAGAGAGGGGGGATGGGAAGACCTACAACCCAGCTCTCCGCTTCTACGAAAGCAGTGTCAAAAAGCTTGGAATCTCGAATCCGCTTGCCTAGGTGGGACGGTGGCTGGATTTCCAGACTGACCTGCAAAGTCCCGTTTGACCCTTAAATTCTCGGAGGATTGCTAGCATGTCAGCCACGCCCACTGGCGCTTTGACCCCTATTGCTGCGGAAATCCACTGTGAGGTTTCACTTGTGACATCAGCGGGGCTTCCCTCCACTTGAGTCCCCGCGCCTGCCACACCTCAGAGCTGCTCCCAAAGGCTCCTTCTCTGCAGGGGAGACACCACTGGACACAGGGCCACCCCACGCTGGCCTAAGACAGAGCCTGACACACAGCGGGCTCTCAGGAGATGTGGACAGAAACAGAAGAGAAAGTGGGGTGCAGAGTATGATAGGCAGCAGAAAGCAGAATTGGGGGAAGAGGGATGGACAGACGAGAAGGCAGTAGCTTTGGTCACTGCTCAGGTGTGTTGAGGGGCCGAGGCTGGACTAACAGGTGAGGCAGGACCTGTGCTGTACTTGGCGTCCACCTGCATAATTTTGCTTCTGCCTGGCTGGCAAAGGTAAAGACTTCACCGGCACTGCAGGCAGCCCCACTGTCCCCCGGAGGGCACCTACCCAGTCACACCAGCGGCAGCGCTGCGGGGCCCTGGCTGCTAAGGCAGAGCTGTGAGGACTGACGCAGGTGCCTTGCCAGTGACGCCATCCCTTCCTGGGTGTCCACTTGCCCTTTTTTGATGGCAGAGACTTTGTCTGGCAGACGGGCATCGCTAGGTGTTGCCATGGCAATGGCTATGATGTCACTTGGGAGTAAATCAAATTGCAGGTTTCACAGTTGAACAGCTTTGCACTGGGAGGGTGGTTGGGGTGAGGAAGGAATCCACGGGCAGGAGAGTCACAGAGGGAACGGCCCTTGGTCATCTCCCGCCCACCCCCCGGTTTGGTCACCTGAGATGAGGCTCTTTTGTTCATCCTCTCCTGCCAATAATTTTCTGAGCACCTATTACGTGCCAAGCGCCATGCAGGGCTGAGAATGGAGTGACTAGGATGACGTGGTCCCTGCAGCCCGCACAGGTTACAACCCAGTGACAGAGGTGGGCACGGCGGGCAGGACTCACCTGCGGGTCATCACACTGCGGTTGGTGCTGTGAAGGAAAGGACCCGGCACGGGAGTCTTAGAGCTGCCGTGGACCAGGCGGTCTCAACAACCGGAATGTATTTCCTCAGGATTCTGGGCGCTAGGAGTTCATGATCAGGGTCCAGGGGGTTAGGTTCTTCTGTGGCCTCTTCTTGGATTGCAGATGGCCGCTTCTCCTGTGTCTTCACACGGTCTTCTCTGTGTGTCTGTCGTGTGGGTGAGGCCCACGCTAAAGACCTCATGTTCACTGAGTTACCTTTTTAAAGATCCTCCTCCAGATCCAGTCACATTGTGAGGTACTGGGGGTGAGGACTTCAACATCACAGCTTCCCACAAGAGGAGTTAGAAGCACGTATAAGGGGGGCTCCGAGGTAGCAGGTGGAAGCGAGACACGGAAGGCCTCCCGGCAGCGATGACATTTCAGTGGGGACTTGAGGACTAGAAGGATCTTCCCGGGAGGAGTGAGAAGAAAGATGGAGATGAACTTGTAGGCAGAGAAAATAGATGCTTAAAGGCCAAGCGCTGGGGGGTTTTCTGGAGCGTTCAAGGAGTTAAATGACCAACGTGGCTGGAGCAGCGGGAGTCAGGGGCAGGTGGTGGTAGAGGTGTCAGGTGCCAGATCCTACAGGGCCTTGCAGGTGTGACTCCTACAAGCCAGGGGACGCCACCCGTGGGCTCTAAGCTGAAGAGCAATTTGATCAGAACTTTCTTTGAAAAGATGACATTCCCAGTGATTTTAAAAGGATGACCAGGATAGAAGCTATCCTAGTATTCCATAGCTACCTTTGTTTGTTGTCGTTGATCTTTGAATAACACGTTTCTATTACTCTGGTGCACTCATGCTGGGATTTTTTTCTAGGTGTGGGTTCTGCATTCACAGACTCGACCAGCTAAGGATGTTGGCTGCGTGAGTGTGTGGAGGTGGAACCCTCTGATACAGAGCACTGGCCATAAGGGACTTGGGCAGCTACCACAGATTTGGGTATCTGCAAGGGTGGGAGGGGATCCTGAAATTAATCCCTTACAGGTACCCAGGAACGACTATGACTAGGTTTTGGGGGAGTCAAAAGTTATACCTGGATTTTCTACTGCACAGGCTGACACCCCTAACCTTGAGCTGTTCCAGGCTCACTTGTAGCTACCCAGCTCTGGGCACTAATTTAGAGCTGTACACGCGCTTTTTCAATTATTCTTCCAACAACCTTTGGGGCAGGTACTTTTACTATGCACATTTCACAGGGGAGGGGACTGAGGCCAGTTGCTAGCACTAGTTCAGAGCATCGCCTCCCTGGTGTCTGTGTGGGCGGTGATGATCTCGTTCAATTCCAGCTGATTCACATTCAGCAGGTCAGCCTGGGACCTGAGATTCCGCGATTCTACCAGGCTTCTGGGTGATGTGGGTGCTGCTGACAGGTTGCCCACCCTGGAGCAGGGAGGTTCTATCTCATCCCAATGGAGAGAGGCTGATCTGGGAACTGAACACATATTGTCTGTCACACAGCTAAGTCAAGTGTGGGGGGGCGCTTTGCAAAGCACCATCATGAGAGCTAAAGTGAATGTCTGAGGACAGAGGAAAGAGAGGCTATTTCTGACCAGAGGGTTGAAGGAAGGCTGCCTGGAGGAGGTGGTTTGAGTAGGGTCTTAAAGACTGGGTTGGATTTCTTAAGCATGGAAGGAAAAAGGGCCTTCTCAGGTCAAGAGAAGTCATGAGCAAGAATATGGAGCAAGAAAAGAGGGGGATGCATTGGAGACACTATAGCTGAAACATGAAGTTAGTAATGGGTTGGATTCTGTTCCCTCCAAACTCGTATGTTGAAGTCCTAACCCCAGCACCCCAGAATGTGATCTTGTTTGGAATAGGGCTGTTGCAGATGTAACTGGTTAAGATGAGGCTGCACTGGACCTGGAATGATCCTTCATCCCATATGACTGTTGTACTTATAAAAAGGGGAGATTTGGACACACAGACACATGCACGGGGAGAACCTTACGTGGACCCGAGTTATGGCTCCTTAGCCAAAGCCGGGAGTGGTCCTCTCCAATGCTTGCAGAGTCGGGGGCCCTGCTGACACCCTGATGTTGGACTGGTAGCCTCCAGAACTGTGAGACAATCCATCTGCTGTTCAAACCACTCAGTGCGTGACACCTGGTTAAGGCAAACCAATACAGGGTACAGTCATGCGTGTGTCAGCAGATGGTCCTCAAAGGAGAAAAGTGCTCTCTTGTGCCCAGAAAAATGCACTTTGAGCCCCGAGAAGATTCCTTGTCACAAAGGGAAATGGGCATGTGCGAACGAGGACAGCTTCCTGCCACCAGGAGCCATGTGCACGAAACCCAGGGTATATACCTAAGTGTCCCCAAGCCTGGTTTAAGTGTTTCTTTTTTCTTTATTTTTTAAAGATTTACTTATTTATGCATACAAGAGCTGGGGTGTAGGCCAGAGGTGCGGTGGGGGGTGTGTGTGTGTGAGAGAATTCACCAGAGACAGAGTAGAGAACAGAACAGGCAGATTGGCTGCAATACACTGCTGAGGGGAGCAGCAAGTGAGGCAGGAGAGGTCTGCTGCGCCATGTAGGTTGCTCCCTGGCCGGCCAGGGACTCGAACTCGTGCTGCAGTGGCTGGCGATAGCTTGATAACACTGTCTTTAACCCTTGTGCCACCAGGGAGGCCCCCTGATTTAAGCATTTCTGTTGCTGGTTTCAGTTTCTCTTTTGCCTAGGAAGGTCCTGTTGGGAAGGGGCTGGAAATTGGCTAGAGCTGCTCTGTGTCAGGCGGTGCTCGGCCTCTGGATGCTTTCGTTTCATCCCCAAGGCGCTCTTAGCAGGAAGATCTCATTATCCTCGTGTTGCACAGGACGAGACTGAGGGTCGCAGTGTTTAGGTTATTGCTCATGGGCCCTTGGGCAGGGCAGAGCACAACAAACACTGGATGCAGGTGGATTCCTCCTGTCCCTTCCACCAGCTCAGTGTGCAGTGATGGGAAAGGTGACCCATTTCGAGGAAGGGAATGAGGCCAAGATCAGAAGGTTGGCAAAGAAATCTGCAGACAGAACTTTTACCATCTGAGAAAACGGCCCCCTTATTGTTCAAGCTACTTTTAGTAAGACTGCATGTTGTTTGCAAACCAAAGCCTCCGAACAGCATCAGCAGTTTTAGGTCTGCCATAGATTGTAAGTGTTGCATGTCCACAGGAGCTAATAAATAATACCCTCGTTTCCCCGCCCACGTGCTGAACCAAGTGAGAAATAAGATCAAGAAAAAGGCAGATGGTGCCCCCAAACCTCACCTCTACTAAAGATAAATCTGTTATTGGAGAGTGTGGCTCTTCCCTCAGGGAAGTGGGCTGCCTTATGCTGCACCCAGAATAGTCAGCCTCGCCTACCCGGGTGTAGGCAGCTTGGACCATGGCAGGGCCTGGAAGAATCAAGCAGAACCTGGCTCCCGTGGGCAGTTCCCTCCTGGGAGAGAGGGGGGACAGCACGGTACTCCTGTTGCCAGGTTCCTTTTCCCAGCGCTCCCACGAGCTAGGTCACTCGTGACGGAAGCATGAGGGGGTGAAGGTTGGTCATCAGTGTCCAGAGAGCATTGCTTCCAAAGGACTCGTCGGGCATGGGGACGAAAGACATTTTCTTCCAGACGGGTAAAGATTGAGGAAGGAAGGGGTGGAGGGAGGGAGTATGAATTTATTTTTGTTTGAAAGATGGGGCAAAAACCCTATGTGTGTAGATGTTTGCGCATGCACAGACAGGCGTGGGAGAGCATAACCCAGGCCTCCCCAGGGAAGTGGTGGGAACAGGGTACAAGGGTCTCACCCACTGGGAGCTGCCACTCTGGCCAGACCTTCTAGAATCACACCTGGAAAATGACTTAGGCTTGTAGGTTCGGGTTGGAACTGGATGGTGCAGATGAAGGGGGATTGAACACGCCAGGGCTTCCCTGGTGGCCTAGAGGTTAAGTCTCAGCGCTATCACCACTAAGGTCTGTGTTCAATCCCTGGCCAGGGAGCTGACCCACATCGCGCAGCAGACCTCTCCTGTCTTCACTTGCTGCTCCCCTCAGCAGTGTATTTTAGTAAATCTGTCTACTCTGCTCCCCACTCTGCCTCTGGTGAATCCTCTCAGCCCCTACACCCCCCATGCCTCTGGCCTATACCCCAGTTCTACACAAAAATAAAAAATATAAGACATCAGAGGAAGGTCCCCAGTGAAGATGAACACTCTCAGGAGCTCCCTGGGCCAGTACTACCCACATCACTTGTTAGAAACAAAATTCTTGGGCCCCATTCCATACCTGCTCAAGCAGAATGTGGGCAATGTGTTAACTCCAGGTAACTGTGGTGCTTGATAAAATTTAAGAACTACTGATGTAGAAGATGTAACTTTGGAGTCAGATCCCCTTGAAAGCTCCGTGCTCTTGAGTACCTCAAATCACTTCTGTGAATCCCAAGTTCCTCAATGGGAAAAAAAGGAATCTTACTTTATTAATCCTCTCATACAAGGATTATTACTAGGTTTAAACTTGATACTAAGCTCCAGTGTTGAACACTCATGACCTCTGACCTAAAGGAACTAGCTGATCTTTGTGGGCTCCTACTATGGGCCAGACACACATCTGGCTTTATGTATATTATCTCTTTTAGTCCTCACCTCACTCCTATGAGGTAGGAACAATTATCCCCATTTTCAGATGAGGGCAAGTGACACACACCTGACTATGGACAGCCAGAAACGAAGCCCAGATTGTCCCACCCCAGAGACCAAGGGGAGGAGACCGCCATGTTGTTCAGGAAGCTTAGCATGGAGACCCTTTTTCAGAGAAAAGCAATCAGAGCTGTGAGAACACCAGGTACAGGTGAGGAGAGTTTTTTTCAGGACTTTCCTTGACTGCTTAGGTGTGGGAGAAAATGTTTACAAGTTCCATTCCTATTTTCCACTTCAAAGGATCTGTGTTTTCAAAACTTTAGGCTTTTGGCTCAAGGTCATTGCAAGAGTCTTGAAACAATAGTCTAGAACACCAAACAGTTTCTCGTGCTCCAGAAAAATCAAAACATTCAAAAAAAGAGCTGATTAGTGGATAATATCTGAGAAATATCATTGCACCATGTCAAGGGCCATGAAATTTTCATCATGCCAAAGTACGGGCGCCATATTGAATTACCAGTTGTGCTGAACTCTGGCTAGTGAGCTTGTTTCCACACCTCCACGGCCCCTTGCCAGATTCATTGCCTGCTAATGTCTGACCTGCTCTGTGTCCCCAGAGACTTCCCACTTTGGCCACCCTGTGGCCACTTCCCCTTTGGCCACTCTGACTTCCAATTGGAGGTGCCAAGAAGAGATCGTAAGGCAGGAAGAAAAGGAGATGGTGGCCTCTATTGTCCCCAGGCCTGGCTATAGTGGGTCTCAAAGTGATTTCTTTCCTCTGAGGTTACAGCCCCCATGGAGAGCCCCCTTCCATGTTCCTCACCAGCAGTTAGCCCCCTCCTGAGTCCCTCAAGGTCAGGAATGGCAGCTGATTTCTGCTATTTCTATTCTGCTATTTCTAACCCACTGGGAGCTTTCTCATCCTTCCAAGTTTCTCATACTCCCCTCTTTGGTAACTGCCTTGAGCTCCCTTGTATTTGCGGGATGGGGCCCTTGCTGATGCCGACAACCTCACTAACAATGGCTAGCATTTATGGGGGGCTTCCCATGTGACTGGCCTAGTCCTTCCCATCCTTTAACTCACCTACCCCTCCCTGTGTAGTAGGTGTGATCTGGCATTACACCTGCGTGTGTGTTGGTTACTTTGGCCAGAGAGCTTCAGGCGTGGTTCTGGATGTCGGAAACAGTGGTAAGTCAAATGGACGCTCCGATGATGGTGTCTGACCCCTTTACCAGGCTGGGGAAGCTGATGTTGCAGGGGCCTTGTATCTCCTGGGGGGTCACTTTGCCTCCCCAAGCTCTTGGCCTCATTTCCTGTGCTGCTGGACCCCTCTGAGCACCAGAACCGGCTGAAGGGCTGCGGGCAGATGCGCCACAAGCTCCTGGGGACTGATTGATTGGCTGATACTGTGGCTGGATGAGTAGATGCTTTCAGAGCAGCTGCTGCCAGGGGAAAATTCCAAGTGCAAAATATTATTATTAATTATCACGATTGCTCTTTGGGCTGCAGGCACTGTGTCTGCTTAGAAGGGAGAGATAAGGCAGCCCTGCCAAAGTGAAAAGACTGATTAATGCTGATGGAGTCTGTCCTCTGAGAGGAAGCTGTGGTGTGTTATTATTTTCTTTTTAATGACTTCTAGACTGGAGTTAAAAAAAAAAAAAAAAAAAAAAACAACCACCCAGGATTTGAGATCTGGCTTGGCTCAAAGTGTGTGACCTTGGGCGAATTTACTTAACCTCTCGGTGCCTCAGAGCTTTCATTGATTAAACGAGAAGTTAGGATTGGGGAACGTCCGAGATCCTTCCCAGTAGTCCCAGCGTTCATCGGAAGATGCTGGTGCTTGATTGGTTATCTGAATCCACCTGTCCTTTCCTCTGCCACTGGGCACTCTCCAATGCCATTCCCCTGCCTCCTGGGTTCTTCAAGGCCTGAGAGTTTAATTTGCTGTCCTTGGGCATGGAGGGGAGATGGGACAAGGCAAGGGTTGACAGAGCCCCCCCGTTACTTCCTCCTCCCTTCTCGTTCTCTCCTTCCTCTTTCGTGATCCCAAGAAAATCAAGACTCAGAGTGGCCACAGTGACCCCAGCTCCCACTCTGGAGCCTTTCACCCCCTTTACACTCATCAGCACTTTATATAAATAATATCCTTTTAGTCCTCATTACCCTTCGATGGGGGACCCCTGTCATCGCCCTGTCTTTACTGGCATGGAAATGGAGGCACAGGGATGTTTAAGTCACTTCCCTGAGGTCACTCAGGTAGGAAGTAGGGGCGCGCCCCATAGCTGGAGGGAGTCTTAGAGTCCATCTAGGCCCCTGGGTTTCAACCCAATGCTGGTTAAAAATTGCTGATGCCTGGGTCTCACCAGAGGTTCTAATTGAGTTGGTTTGGGGTGCAGTTGGGTCTCAGGATTTTTTAAAATCTCCCTCAAGTGAGTCTAATGTGTAGCAGAGTTGGAGAACCACTGATTTCATCCTATTACCTGTTTTACAGATGAGGGAATTGAGACTCAAGGGCAGTGGATCTGCCTGATTTTTTTCTGTTGTGTGCCCCACCCCAGCTCTCCTGGTGGGAGAAATGGGGAGTGACAGTCAAGCTGGAGGGCCATCGTCCCCTACCCCCCAAACCTCTGGGGCCCCTTATACCCTTATAGCCCAGGACTCTGACTCTCCCGTGGCCTCAATTTTCCAGCCTGCCCCCAACTTGCTGCCTTAGTCAGGATCAGGTAAACCTGCAGTAACTGGGGGACCCCAAAGAAGAGGCTGGGTTTCTCTAGGAGATTGGAGAGGGAGACCTTGCTCGGTCAGCCCTGGGGACTTAATTATCCTTTGCCTTCCCTGCCAGAGCTTTGGTTCTCATCCTCCAGCACGTGATTTCCTGAGCTGAGTCCTCACAGGCTTGAACCGGTGGAGATCCACAGCATCTGACTCACCGTGAGCACTGGGGCCCTGCACACCCACCCAGGCAGGAGCAGCCAGAGGGTTTGGACTGAAAATCAGAAGAGCAACTGTCTTAGAAGTGCTTTCTGTGGGTCAAGCACCATGAGTGATTTAAAGCACACAAATACACACAGGAAATATTGGGCTGTCGGAAAAGTCATGATGTATTTTTTCTGTGTTTTCTACACAATATAATGAATCCTACTTTTCAGGTGTGGAAATGTAGGCCAAAAGAGGTTAAATGATTTGCCCGGGAAATGTCAATTAGTACATAACAGAACAGGAATTTGATTCCAAGTCACCTGTTAGTTTAAGTTAGTTTAAGTGCCACCTCCTCCAGGAAGCCTTCAAGACACACCAAAACAGACCAGAACAGATCTCTTTATTATGTTCTGGCATTCTGTGTAACTCCTCTCTCTTTGGAATTAAGCAGTCCTCAGTACTATTTGATGAAACACACTCTCCTACTAGACTGTAAGCTCCTTGGGGGTGGTTGTTTTCACTCAATCCCTCCCTTATCCCCAATTTGAAGCATAATATCCACCCCATCAGACCAGCTCCTCAGAATTTGTTATAAGAGAAATGAATGGTCCAGCTGATACCAAAGTCAATGCTTATACCCACGCTGCAGTCTGACAGTTTTCCCCAAAAGTTACATCAACTGTTGGGTCATCAAAATTCATGAAGCATTGGCCCTGCCCCAGACTATAGTATTTGAGGTTGCACTTAGCTGCATATAGCAGCAGCCAGTACAGTAGATTAACTAAATTGGGGTTGTTTTTTTTTTTAATTTTTTTTAATAGAGGCATGTTTTTATTTATTTATTTGTTTGTTTATTTGTTTGTTTTGTTTATACATGCACTGGGTACAGTCAGAAGCGTGGGAGGGTGAGAGAATTCACCAGAGCCAGAGTGGGGAGCAGAGCAGGCAGAAGGACCGAAGTACACTGCTGAGGGGAGCAGCGGGCGGCAGGAGAGGTCTGCGTGCCATGTGGGACCCTCCACCAGTGGCCGGAGAGCAGCCGGGGATTGAACCGGCGCTGCAGAGGCCGCGAGCATCTTCGCAACCCAGTGCTCAACCGCTGCGCCACCGGGGAGGCCCGGGGTTTGGTTTTAATGTGTTATAAACAGCCCAGAAGAAGGAAGTCTCAGCCCCTCATGACTGCGCAAGGACATGCTTGAGGGCTGTCCACCCTCCCAGATGCCTGCTCTGCTATCCGGGTATGACCTTTCACCCTCGTGGTCCCAGGATGGCCGCACCACCTCGAGCTACGGAGCCCAAGATTCCAGACGTGAAGATGGAGTGAGGGTGGGTGAAAATGAGGGACCAAGGTCGAAGAGCCAGCTGATCGGACCCTTATCAGGAAAACAGTGGCTTTTCTAGAAGCCCACCCTATAGAATTCAACTTGCATCTCGCTGGTCCAGCCAAGTGACGTGGCACCTGAACTTTAAGGGAGCCTGGGCAGGTGAATAATTTTAATTCAGCATGCTGCCCAACTGGGATTCTATTCTAATAGAATATGGGAGAGCAGGCCACTGGCATTATCTGTCCCATAGGCTCTGTGCCAGGTATGCAGAATAGAAAGATGCATAACATATGGCCCCATCCACCATGGGACAGACTGCCTGGTAGAGGAGCCAGGTGCAAAACCACCTTTCACAGCCCCACATATTGTTAGAAGAACAGTGGGAGCACTGAAAAGTAAGCAAAGAAAAAGTAGATTGCTTGCAGCAGCTGGGGTAGGTGTCATAAGGAAGATGACACTTGGGATAAATGATGATGCGGTAACAGTTTGTCATAGCCACGGAGTAAATACCTGACTTCAAAAGATACCTGACACTCTTTATTAGCTCCAGATTTGGGGTTTACTCTACTCTGAATGCTTCAGGATCACATGTAACTAGTTCTATTTTTCCTTCTTTGGGATGGGTGTTGAAGGATGAATAGGAGTTCGGCAGATAGAGTCTGACCTTTCAAAATCTGGTCACCATCTATCTTTCAACCTCAGCTCTTGGGAGTACTGCCCTCTGCCTGCTTCGGCGGCCGCAGGCCACTTGCCATTCCCTCATGTGCCATCATCTGTTCTTTCTCTCTGTCCTTCCAAGGGTTGTTTTTTCCTGCTTGGTAAGCCCCTCCCCCTCCATCCCTGAGCTAAGCTCTCCTGTGGTGGTGACTCATCCTTGGCCAGCTGTTTAGAGGGCAAGAAAGGACTTCATCAGAGTGTGATGCACACAGGAAGATGGAGAGCACCCTCAGCCCAGCTGCAGAACTTGGCTTTGCTGATCTCGGAATAAGGAAAAGGAGGAACTCACCCTAAATTACCAAGTTTGAGTGCATTGCCTGTTTCCTGTTAACACCTTCACTGATAAAGAGGCCCTTGCCATGGACATTCCATCCCATGTTTTCTTGCAAATTTCTGATTCTCTGCTGGTCTGGAGACTGGTTTCCTTGGGCTGCCTAACAAAGCACCCCCAATGGAGCAGCTTACACCACAACAATTTGTTTTCTTAAGGTCCTGGGGACTGGACGTTGGCGAGCAGTGTGTGGGTGAGCCTTCCTGAGGACCACAGGGGAGGGATCTGGTCCAGGGCTCCTTGCTTGGAGACAGCTGTCTTCTCCTTGTGTCTGGGTGTCATCTCCCCCACGCCATGTCCAAACTTCCTCCTCTTGTGAGGACACCCGTCACACTGGATTGCGACCCACCCTGGCAGCCTCATTAAATTTAATTACCTCTTGAATGCTCCGTCTCCAAAGACTGCCATATTCTGAAGTACTGGGGATTAGAACTTCAACACGGGAGGTTTTGTTCTTTTTTTTTTCCCAAGAGGGACACAACTTAGCCATGACTTGGTGACTGAGAAATGAGAATGTGATTTTAGGGTGGAAATAAGGCATGTTGGAGGCACTGGGGACACCACAGCCTTCAGGAGGGATGAGGTCCCTGCTCTCACAGGCTGACGTTCTGAACAAGAGAGAGAGGCCACAGACAAGTCTACAAGCAGAAGTATCTCAACAGTGACAAGCACAGGCAAGACGAGCACAGTGTGTGACAGGATGACGGGGCCAGGTCCCAGGGGTGGGGTGGGGGGAGGAAGCGGGGGGGTTGCCTCTCCCAGGAGATCTGAAATCTGAGATCAGACAGAATGAGACAGAGCAACCACCGCTTAAGTCCTCATTTGGGGTGGAGCTTGATGATGGCGGAAAGATGGGTCAATCACAAGCAATGAGGGGTTTCTTCCAGAGAGCTTTTCATTTTTACTGATGCACAGAGAGAGAATTGGGGGGCGGGGGCATTAGTTTGTCTTGCAGAGAAAATTAGATTAGACCAGGCTTTTGGGGTGAACCCTTTCCAGGACGTGGTATCACACAGCAGCTGTCTGTACCTAGACTATTCCTTCCTTCGCCAGCCTCCCCAGGAGTGACCTTTGGCCTGCCTCAGCCCTGTCTTTACCCGGTCAGGCAGGGCCGGGTGCCGAGGGAGAGCTGGCCCTCTGCAGAGACGGCTGGGGCAATCCCAGGAAACCAAACCGTCTCCCTCACAGTCCAGCAAGGCCGGGAGGGCTGCTGTGTGGGAGCGAGGCTCATATTAAAATCCTAATCTACATTTAAAATATTTCCATTGTGTCTGTGGGGATCTCCATTCCGTATGTTTGCCAGAGCTCTGGGGCCAGCGTTGTGTTTGATTTTGAGTGTTTTAAAATGAAGGCTAAAGGTGAGTTGAAATCAAGTAGAGCGATAACAGCGCAGTGGCTGGCGTCTCCCCCGCCCCCACCTTTTGTAAATAGCGCCTCGCTGGCAGCTTCCCTCCCACCAACAGCATCAGAGGCTGGTAGGTTGTGTCGTGCCCTGGGGACCCTCGCCTCAGCTGGTTCGGTCCCCTTATTTCAATTCTCCCCTTCTCCCCTCCCTTGCTCTGGCCCCTCTTCTCTTTCTTCCAGGAAGATATTAAGCTGCCCCCTGTTTCCTGGCTGCTATGACAAATGGCCACAAACTTGGTGGTTTAAAACAACACACCTTATCTTTCAGTTCTGAAAGTCAGAAGTCCATAGCAGGTCATCCTGGGCTACCATTGAGGTGTCCGCAGGCGCTTTTCTTCTGGAGGCTGGAGGGTGAAGCCCTTTGTTAGCTTTTTCCAGCACCTACAAGTCACCCCATCCCTTAACTCATGGCCCCTTCTTCTACCTTCAAAACTAACAATGGACAGGAACATCTTTCTTGTGACTCCAACTCGCCTCTCCCCTTCACGTCTAAGGAGTCTTGTGATTTCACTGGGTCCATCCAGGCAATCTAGAATAATCTCCCCATCTCATCATACTTAACTTAATCACATCTGCAAAGACTATTTTTTTTTGCCATGTAAAGCAGCAGATTCACAGGTTCTAGGAATCAGGACTTGAGCATCTTTTGGGTCCCATTACTCTGCCTACACACCGGGTCTCATACGGGTTTATTTCTCCACACTGTTGTCATAGCACCTACACGCCTCATTCTTAGGGCCCATCAAAAATCCATGCTTATTGTGAAATTAGTGAGCTGCTGAGATTGTTATACAGAATTATCATTTAAGGTTAACTGTTACAGTGACTTATTCTGAGCAGGACTGGCGGGATTCCCTAAAAAATGGATCTAATGAAAGTTAAGTGTGGTTGAAGGAGAAGGTTTGAGAATTCCAGACTGAAGGATAAGCAAAGGTCCTGAGGCAGGAAGGACAAGAACACCTGAGAACTTTAAAGAAATCAGACTTCAAGGATATGGAGGTCCAAGGCAGCCATGTGGGGAGTTAAAGGTGACCAGGTGCAGTGGAAGAGTGTTAAGGAGGCAACAGGTACCAGTATGCTTCGCCAGTCTGCATGGTGTTGGGTTCAATTAATGTACTGTAGTAATGGGTATTTTTGTGATGTTTCCAGCTATCATTCCCTTAGAGAAGGCAACCAGGATGACTCCTCTAACTCTGCCAGAGCAATACACATCACAATAAATGCCCAGTATACATTGTGGGTGAAAGAAGTTCAGTTAATGAAGAGGTGCTGAAAGAATAGCTCCCCAATGTCTACTAAACTTTGGAAGACTACAATTTTTCTTCCTTACATATTAGTTCATTTCTAATACTACTGTTTGAAATGGGAGATTCCCTTCTTCACCCATTACTTTATTTTCACACTGAGCTCTTTCTTCCACAGACATTGGCCACATGTGGTGTCACATTTACAGGATTATTTGCTTT